GTCAACATTCCCACTTCTCAATACCTATGTGAATCATTCTATGTTTTGAATATAAGAACTTGCTATTCTTATGCTATTCATATTTCAGCGTCATATCCCTTGGTATCTTTCGCTACTATAGTAGATTGAAAACATTGTAGAACTGTTTTCTACACGTTGATGTCTTCTTTTTGACATCTTCATACTGTGGTCAGCTGATAAACCTCGTCGGAATAATTAAAAGAGGATATGCTTCAGGATTCCGCTACGGAGGTATAAAAAGCCCTGTTGCTAAGTCTTCAACCATTCAGCGTTCCGCCACTTTTTTCTTCTTTCATTGTTTAAAAAATACTCATAGACACTGTGTCTATCAATAAAGATTTTCTGTCGATCGTTCTACTTCAGAACATATTCGCTCTTAATGACATATTGTTCAAGAATATATTTACTGTATTGTAATGAATTATAAGACATTCACATGACATTCTATTCAATCATTATTATGCCATATGACGTGAGAGCTCGAATTCAATAATAAAAGCTGATTTAAGTATTAATTTTTCGAAGCTTTCTGCGGTTATTTTCCTAAATATCATAAAATGGATTTGAGAAATTTTGGAAAACCAATATGTTCCAGAAAATACGCATGCCAAGTTTTAGTTGAAACGATTTCTGAGAATATTAACCGATCAGATGGTAATCCACTTGATGGTTAATAAGACGTAAATTCAAAGTTATAGCAGGCTGGAACATAGTCGCTTCACTCACAGTTCGAAAATTTATTAACTCCAAAAAGAAATAAGAGCCTGTTAATAAAATGCGGAATTTCCCAAATTTCCACTTCCTGCACATTTTTCATTTCTAATGCTTTGGAAAATATCATTGAGCGTTTAACTAAGACTCTTTTTAAAATGGCTGCTATTTTTCAATAAAGTAAAACTTGTCTTTAGAAAACATCGAAATTATTATACAAACGATTTTAAATATGGCAAAGTTAATAGTACATATTGCTTTTTTCATCTATTGCCAGGCTGCCGCCCCAGCCGCACGTAGAGGAGCAGGAGGACAGGCGGGAGATCAAGGAGTAGGTATGCATCTCACATTTCTACCATCCTGATTTCCCACCAAACAAAATACAGCTATGTACATATTGCATTCTGCATCATTCCAGCTTTTTCATTTGGGATTTCTCGTAAAACAGTATTTGATGGGAGAAGTAATTTTAGTGGTAACTGCATTAGTTCGAATACCATTGATTTTACTTCTGAGGCAGAGACAACGAGAGTCACTTTACTACTTTACTTCTTTGGAGGGAAGAAATTCAAAATAGTGGAAAATTAGTTTCTTATTGTTGATAAGTCAAGGCGATAATAATAACCATTCCAAATCTCAAAGGTTCTCCCTTGTTCAATTAATTTTATCAGACTAGTTATAGCATTAATTTCAGCCGCGGAGGTTATCACAGATTATAAAGCTGATGAGTTATGGGAAGATGGTCGATTAATAGTGACAACAAAAGTAAACGAATGTATGTTCATTTCACACAAAACTGATTTATTAGCATTATTTAATGCTTAATGATTAATCATTTCGAGAAGTTTCATTTTATAACTTGTAGATTTCATTTATTGGCTTCTTTCTGTTAGATAAGTAATTTGCATTATTATTTCTGTGGAATGATTGCAGCAACACTGATGAATTATGGTACAATGGAAGATGGAAGATCGTTTATTTTGGAGGAGAAGCCGTTTCTGTTTATGGAAAACTCTTTTAATTTGATAAAGTGAAATCAGGAGAACTGTAAATGTGCAAATGGTAAAATAATTAATTCGTGATAAGATAAGTGATAAAGATAAGTGATAAGTGATAAAGACGAGTGATAAAGATCAAAAAAAATTGTTCCGACCCATAACGCTCTCTTGCCGCAATTTGATTAAATTAGCTTGTTTTTATGTTTGAATTCAAATTCAATCCACGAACGCATTTTTTTCAAATCACTTTCCGCTTGCGCAAATGTATTTACAGGTCATTACCGAAGCTAGCATTTTACCCCTGTAGAAATACCATTATAAAATTCATTATTTGTCTTATTCAGTTCTTACATTCTTTCATGGTCTGATATTCCAATTAAGGCTATTTAGCTGCGGGTTCTCCTAACCATTGTGGTCCTTTCCATCATAATTTGTATTCCTTTAGTTTTCCTACAAGAAGCCCTTTTGTAGTAACATCCACAGGGTTATGCTCACTTGGGACATATCGGACATGTCGTTGGGACACTTGGACATACTTGGGACACTATTTTTGCTTTCCTTGTTTCTTCTACCCGATTCTGTACGAATCTTAGCAGCAATTTTGAATGATTTTGTATCCAACATAGTGCATATTTCGAGTTCGATCAAAGAGTTATTGGACACCCGTTTAGTTCTAATTGCTGCATGACAAGCTTTACTGCTTGTACACCAATAGGTATCGCAGGCACTTCCAATCAATATATGCTCATTCCTTTATTGGAGTCAGTCTAGGTTTAGCGAAAAGCACTGCTGTTTAGAACATACATCGCTGTTGCATATGCTACGTTTGAAGCGTCCGTGAAGACATGAATTTTGCATTCGTTCCGTCGAGTTTATTGCCACCCGCGGTATTTCAATAACATCTGTTAGCCACTTCTTGACAAGAGACTT